ATGACAAATAAGATGTTTTGGTTTTATTCACCTGCCACAACGCTGAAATGGTCTAACTTCAATGTCGGTGAATTGATTTCAATTCAGGTAAAAGCTCCAATGATTTATCCGATCATATCTCGAGTTACAGTACGGCGCTGTGACGAACTGTCCGTTGGTACAAAAAAATAGCTACAGAAATTTTAATTGGTACTTCAATTGTTGCTAATGCCCATTTCATCTACAAGGAGGCCGAACAGACCAATATATCCAAAAATGATTGTCGATATGCAGTTATTGAAGAATTGTTAAAATTTGAAGGCGGCCAGTTTTATGAACGTATACGTCGTGCAAAAGGAAACGTCAATGCTCACGTATTTACAAAATTAGTCTGTTAGGCACGGGAAAAAAGACGGTACTGCAAGGCAGTGAAAGGGATGTTACAAGAGAAAACAGGATGAACTGATAGATAAAAATAAAGTGAAGAAAGTAAAAACGTACTGTGCCCGAAAATAGTGCGAAAATAGTCCTAAGTTTTGTCTGGAATGTTTCAATTTATTTCACAGTACTCATTAATTTTTTTGAAAGATATATATTTCTATAGATTATTTGTTTAATGCATTGTTTTATCAATTGTAGGTGTTCTTATTTCTTACTTAATGAAAGACCTCAAAATGGTTTTCCTACTGGATTTTTCTAATCAGAATTGCTACACAGAACCTGGTTCAAAATTCTATATCGCATGACCATAGCGGACACATTCCCATGTTAAAACCGCATAAAATCGTGTCCTAGCGGCCGAGTAAGGATGATGAAAAATTTACAAGTCAAAAGAACACTGGTGTCCGTGTGGCTCAGGCGGCCAAATTCAAATTGGTCACCCGTGTCCGCCGTGGCGCTTAACCTGTTAAAGGTAAAATAGAAGGTTGTAGAGGTGTAGAAAGAAAACAGGGTTCTTGGTTAAAGAACATTCGTGAATGGACTGAGATATCAAATGCAGGACAATTATTCCATGTGGCAGAAGATCAGGACGCCTTCACAATGGTGATGACCAATGTCAGATAACTCTGGTATGGCCCATGAAGAAGAAGTGTAATCCCTTTCCCTTCTTTTTCCTTTACCTCATATAAATATCATAGAATCACATTATTAACATGACTATTTTTTTATGATGTACTATTTATTTCCTCAAACTTCCTGTAGCTATTTTTTGCCTTCTATAAGCAAAAACACTCCCCCAATTTTTTTTTATGTCAATCACATGGGACTTGGTTTTCTCATATAATCTTCCTACCTGTTATTTACAGTAATTACATAAGTACTCATATATCTTCTTTTTTTATTGTAAAGAAAATAGATTTTCACAGATAAATTTAAGCATTATCATCTTCACTGTTCACGTACAATATTGAAATAGCTATGAAGTAGAATGAAGATTGGGCCTCATCTAATCTTCATTCTATTTTAACATCAATAATCAACAAAAATTGTTTTTTAGAGTGATATCAACTAATATAGATAGTCATAGAAGGTTACTTTTTATCGACATGTGTCCCCTGTTTCAAATGTAAATAAACAATGTTTTTAACCAGGACAATAGAGGTGGGTATATTACACTATTTTTGTATTACATTTTATATAATACTGACTAAAAAACTTTTTTTAGTTACATTCCAACACTGTCTGAATCAAGGGCTAGTTTTTTGTTAAGGATAAGCCTTCTATGAGTTTGGTTCTATTCTTTTATTTATTTGTGATACCTTGGATATCCTTTAGTGTTTTCGTATTTGAGCTGAAATGTCACTATAACTCAAAGCCACCTCTTTCAAAATATTTTCTAAGTGTAGGAATTCTCAACAAACAATGCTCAAAATATACAGGATGCATTTAAAATGTGGGTATTTGCCATTCACAATTTGAGATTTTTTAAATCGTGAATGTGTTGCTTGTGTGAGTCCATTTCAAATACTTAGGTAAAATAAATAATAAATAAGACTTACTCACATTCAGTTTAATTTAACCATCTAGACAACCAGTTTCCCTTTCTACAATATGCAAAGCATCTTCAGGTCTGTTGATACAAGTTAATTAAATGATGCCGGTACTCTATTAATTAATGATTGGAAGAACATAGATCAAACTATCCTGTATTGCTGAATGGAGAACTTCAGTTTTTACTATTGTAATTGTTTGACCATAAACAGGGAAGTTTATTGAGGAGATAGATTTTATCCAAGGAAATAAGAAATAGGTGTAATGTGATTGTTTGTTAAATGAGAGTAATGTATGTTATTTAATTCTTTAAAAGTTATTTATATTTATTCAAGAGATATATTTATGAAATGTGTGTTATTTATTGGGATTTTATTAAGGTGACAGTTGTGTGACAATGAATGAAATTAGATGTACAATTGTGTGGGTGTGCAATTTTCTTCAACTTGTACCTAATTATCGAATTTCTTTGATAAAGTTCAATTGACTTACTATTATATGGCAAATGATTGTAAAGTCCAGTATATAAAATTATTAAATCTCAAACAATTAAGAACACTTAGGGAAAAACAGAACACACTTAAAAAGGACAAAACAGACATTAAATCTTAAAAAAGGGGGCTTAAAAGCACTAAGTACATCTCTGACTTGGAGACAATGAGTTTTTTTTTGTTATCTATTAGATTTTCTAAATTACAATAGTAATATAGTAATAATAGTAAAAAACAATTACAATAGTAAAAACTGAAGTTCTCCATTCAGCAATACAGGATAATTTGAAATATATTCTTCCAACCATTAATTAATAGAGTACTGGCATCATTTAATTAACTTGTATCAACAGACCTGAAGATGCTTTGCATATTGTAGAAAGCGAAACTGGTTGTCTAGATAGTTAAATTAAACTAATTGTGAGTAAGTCTTATTTATTATTTCTTTTACCTATTTGAGATTTTTTATTCAATATTCTCAATTCTTCAAAAATCTTAATGTACTTTATGACATCAGCAATGGTACTTTAGAACTAGGACAGTTAAACTCAATTAGGCAAATTTACTTGAGTTTAATATTTTTTAAGAGACTTTATTAATTTTATAAATCAGTATATATTTATGTACTAATAAGTTCCTTCATTTTTCTACCCTAGAAGGGTTGCTGAAAATAAAAGAACAGGTCTAGTGATTTATTTGTTTTAATTATCTAGAACCTGTCATCAAATAATTACTTAGCATTCTATTGATGTTTCCAAATACAATAATTTATAGTTATAAACCAAAAGCAATTGTTTCATCAGATAAAATGCTCTATAGGAAGTGAATTTTGATTCCTAAAAGTGAAACTAAGTAGAAACAGTAAAATATAAGCTTCAGAGGAAAATAAATATGTTAAATGATATTAAAATGTAAGTGCTTGGCTGTAGTTATAGTTGTGTTAAAATACTTACTGAGTCGAATTTTATCAATCTTCATTTCTGATAGAACTAATATTAATTGAATAGAACAATAAAATAAAGGGTTTAAATAAATTGAACTTTCCAGTTTCCAGTAAAAAAATGAGAAAAGATATGTAAAAAATACACTTTTAGGGTATTAAATATAATAAGGCTATTAATGTTTCTATAGTATGTACAATAGTGTATAAATCTTACAATTACTAGGCCAAGAATTGACAAAATTGAACTGCCAAACAACATGGTATTACCATCCAGTAATATTAAGGGAGACAATGCCATAAGATAAAGTATTGAGACCATTATACAAGATAAATATTCTGTAACTCTTCTTGTGCCTTATAAGGCTCAAAAGCTCATAAAAGCATTAAAATAAAAAATGACACTAAATATGATACCAGGATATTCTAAAACAATACAAAATGTAACCTAGAAAATAGGATGAAATAAGAATAATGAACTGGAATTACCATGATACTAGAATTAATGACATTTGTTTGACCCAACTAAGAAGAGAGAAAAGACCAGAAGGAAGAAGGCAATCATGGTAAGACCAAAAAAATCGATAATTATCAGCTGTTTTTTAATCATAGTTCTACAGTATAACAAAAAATAGTTTTACAGTAATTTCGAGGTCTCAAATTACTTTTAAAGTAATTTGTATAATTTGTGAACATTTAGACAGTATATCTTTGTGAAAAATTTTGAAAATATCTTCATTACAAATGGTTTTCTAAATACAGTTTGGTACATGTATCAGAAACGTTCAACTCTAAAGAGCCAAAATATGTGTAAAGAGAAGTAATGCTAACATGAAAATATTAATTCACTTCAATATCCTTTAATGTTAAAGATTAACAGACATTTAACCTCATTTTTCCTTTGATATGAAATGTATACTTCTAGAGAATTATGAAATTTCATAATTAGCATGATTAGAAAAATTTTTTTACCAATATATACAAATATGCAAGGATTTTACATTGTTTTCTATTGTGGTAGAAATTATTGGTAACATACATCTTGTTATTTACTCATATTGGTTTTGGTTATCTGGTAATAATTTGGTTAGAATAAAAACTTGAAATTCATAAAATAGGAAACAACTTGTTTGTAAAAAACAATAATTTATGCTTACATAATTATATTAAATTGTTATTAAATGCTGATCCAGCACATACTTCACATGGAATCATCATTATATAAACAAACTAATGGGGACAGCAAACAGCAATAAAGACACAAAATTAGACAACTTCCTAATTTGATTTAACAAATTAAAAGACAGCGGTGGAAATCATCACTTAGCTGCTAATCAAGGCTAATATTAATGATTAAATGAGATTAAATAAACAAAAAAATCATGAACAGGATAAACGATCATTCATTATTCACTATTTATCGACTTTCAATTTGGACTCAATCGCAAACGAGTAGGACACGATAATAAATATTGGATTGAATTTCCTTGAATACATTCAGGAGTTAATTATACACATTTTTCAACTTCACTCGTGTAACAACATCACATGATGTAAGCAAGAGAAAATGATAATTATGATTTAAAAAAATAACTTACTTCGTTTTACTGCATCATCGTAGCTCAAGCAACTCCTTTTAGAATCCTTAGCACCCATATTTTTTATATTTTATTTACGCATAACAACATTTTTCACGACAAATTCCACGGTTATTACACAATTTACAACAATCACTCAAATGACAAGATACCAAAACAAGACAACTGTCGCAGTTACACTGACCACAAAACACCTATTTGCTGACGCAGAAGCAATACCACCGACCTCGTAGAATACAAGAAATATACGTAGGCAACCAACAATACCACAAAACAAAATTATTTGCGTTAGAGTCCTTCAGTCCGTCCTTACCGTTCATTTTATTTTATACTTTATTTACACATAACAACAATTTTCACGATATATTCCACTGTCATTACACACTTTACAAGATACAATTTACAAGATATCAAAATAGGAGAACTATCGTAATTACACTGACCATAAAATACGTATTTGCTGACGCAGAAGCAAAACTAGGTAAATTGTAAGGTACAATGAGTACAAGAAACATTCATACGCAATCAACAATACTGCGAGAGAAGATTATTTACGATTTTTAATGGTAATTAACTACAGTTTCAGACCGAAAATCCAAACATCAAAATAAACGCATTTTCAACTAAAATTGTGATTAATTCTCAATAAAAATAGTAAATAAAATTATAAAAAAAATATTAACCATGGCTTATTTAAAAAAATCTTGTGTATTTCTAAAAAATAAAGAATTAATTTACAAAACAATCATTACATCACTGTCGGCCTTCACATATAGCCCTTTTAAAGAAAAATGATGGTTCCCGTTGTTTTGTATTAATGACCTCCAGCTTAATGCAATAATTACCTAAGTAAGTAACCCCTGAGCCAATTGGATACACTCTGTGTTTCTCATTGGTTTTACCCTTAGCTAAAATATGAATCCTGGCAAGTAGGATTGGAGCCAGCTCATCGAGATAAACTTACATTCACGATAGGATTAGATTTTGTAATTCTCCCGCTACATTTAAGAGGAAAATGGGGGAAGATTTAAAAAGTCAACCTTTTGATGGTTGACAATGGCAAACATTTATGGTTTATTTGGATGACGTATTTGTGATTGGAGAATCTTTCTAAGGGAACATCTTGGAGATGTTCGATTCAGCAGCTAATTTACCGAGAAATTATATACTCGGGCCATATCCATATCTAGTCCATACATACTAGTAATGGTATGGTAGCAGATGTTAATGAAATCGAATCAATTCAAAACTGTACCAAAAATATTCAGTACCAAAAGATAAACATGAAATTACAAGTTTCTTCGGCTTATGTACATAATAGAATTCTACATGTGTCCAAAGATTTTCGAAGAGTTGCGAAAGTACTTATTATTGCACCAGTATTAAGCTACAAGAGGGAAACTTCGGTTTGCGCACAGATGTCAACAACACTGCCATATTATGCCTATTTGCCAGATTCGAGATGAACAAGAAAATGCGCTTATTTAAGCAATAATTTTGACCCAACCAGAAAAAGCTATTGCGCCACCAGAAGAGTATTTCTAGGCGTGGTAAAAGTTTGAACATTTATAACTATCTGTCTGATGAAAATCTTCGTATTTGTATTGATCATATAGTCTGTAGTTTCGTTATCTAAATTGTCAAGTGGCAAAATAGCTAGAGCAATTGCAAAAATAAGAATATGTCATCGAGAACAGTGTAGGAAAACTTTGTTTAAATGATGATGCCTTTTTCAGAAGGCCTCGCAGCGCAAGTTATAGCAACTGTAAAAATTAGAGGAATGACTATGTCACGTGACACAGACCACTCTAACAGATTATCTATGACAATCTCAATAGTTACAATATGTCCAAGAAAATAATCAATGTCTGAAACGTATTTTGGATTGGAAGCGTAAAGGTGAAAGACCAACTATGTCCTCGTATGCTAGTGGGTTTGAAAAGATTCTATTGGATGACCTCTAAAGTAAAACGAATTGTGTGGAACGGGCAATGAAGAGTTAGTATAGAGAGGGCATTCGTGATACAGTATATTGTTAATAGTTCTATAGATGGAGTAGTCATTGGTATTGTAGGACCGCTGCCTTGTGGAAATGGTTTCTTTGACCAAATTGACTGAAATCGATTCAATTTAAAATCAAAGGGCTTCTTCAGACGGAGATATACTGGTTAAAGAAGTGTTCAGACGTTTTGGTGTGAACGTGTTTTGGCAAATTTTGAATCAGCACATTACTAACACGTTTGCCGATTGGTTAGTGCTAATAAAACCGAAAAGATACCTCTGCTTTCACAGTCAGAGGGAATGATAAAGAAGATGAGTCGAATAATGTCCGACAACATATTCAGATGGCCAGTGATAGGATAAAATATCAATATAACGGCCGTTCCACATATGGAAGTTACGAATTAGGTGATCTTGTCTAGCTATAACGTAAGCTACAATAACGTAAATTTCAGAGACAATGCAAAGACAGTATAAAATAAAAATAAATTATCGAATTATTAATCTGCAAAAAGGTAAATCAAAAGTTGTACACACAAATTGTATTACACCATATACACCGTGTCGCAAAAGACCTCATACTGATCAATACATCCCATCTGTATTAAAAAAATAGTTTAAATTGTTGTTATACAGGGAGACCAAGAGATCCTCTATTCAAAGGGCAAGCTACGAGAGCGTATGGACAAGGTAATGATTTGAGAAAAATTTTGTGCAATCCCAATATACGAAAATTACTTTTCCAAAAATAGGCTATGGAATAGAAAACCTGGAGTCATGAGAAGCATAATTGAAGTGATATTTTGGGAGACTGGCGTACAAATGTATGTGTGTTGCTTTAATTTAAAAAGACAGTGGATGAATAGTCCTGCAAAGGCTTGTGTAAAGCTGAAATACTCAAAAATAAAACTTTTTTTAGTTTAAGTTTCCCCACAAAGAACAGACGCCGGGAAATTTTGATTGGGACGCTTAGCGCTAAAAAGTGGGTAAGAGGGTAATTTAGAACATACGTGTCTACTATATAAGAAACCATCTGGAACAATGGGTAACCAATATAATCCGGTTTTTGTTATTCAGACGTATTTAAATCTTACAATGCAAGTCGAAAATCTTTACATTGCATTGTTTTGTGACGGGTACATACCTTTGACACAGAATAAATCCGAATGCCCACTCTCAGATGCCGCCTTTGAAGTGTGTCAGCACGCGATCGCCATATTTTAAACGGAAACACAGACTCGGATTGAGAAATTTTGACAAGCTATGACAGAACCATCATTTAAATTTTTAGAGATTAGTAACTTAGTAAATTTGAAATAATTTAATATATTCTTAAACTAAAAGTACGATATAAAATGTTGCATATTATGTCTATGTTTGCCGTAAATCAATTAAACCGCGATAATTTTTCTGTGCACACCAGAAAAATTTCACTGAACAGCACTGGTTTCTTTTAAAACATGACTGATTCTGATTCTGTCTGCGCGTACTTATCTTGACAAGCAGATGTGCATTCTGTCTGATTGTTTTATTATTCTGTGCCTTTGACTTTTGCTTTTTGCAACGAAGACGAAGATTACTGCCAGCTGTCACTGCTGTCAGTTAAACGTCAAAAATAATAGGCGTTTCGGGAATTTGATAATATTTGATTCTTATTTCTACAGCAATTTTATTGGGGTAATTTTATTAAAAAACTGTAAGTTTCAATATTTTTGAAATGAATACGATAAAAAACGTTAAGTTTTCCACTCATAAGTACTAACTTCATTTTAGGTTACAATGACCGACTCAAAATATTTTACTACTACCAAAAAGGGAGAAATATTTGAATTAAAGTCCGAGCTAAATAATGATAAAAAGGAAAAGAAAAAAGAAGCTGTTAAAAAGGTAATTACCAAATTTTTTATCGGCTTTATTAGTCATCAAGAGTTTTCTGCAACTTTATTATTTAAATTTCCTATCAGTTGCCTACATATTTATCAATTACACAAACAGTTAATACCAAACAAACTACATAATCCACAGATATCAATTTTATAAGAACTGATATATTTTCTCAACTTATTGTTATTTGTATTTTAGGTTATTGCCTCTATGACAGTAGGCAAAGATGTTTCAGCTTTGTTTCCAGATGTAGTAAACTGTATGCAGACTGATAATTTAGAGCTCAAAAAGCTAGTTTATTTATATTTAATGAACTATGCTAAATCTCAACCTGACATGGCTATTATGGCAGTAAATACTTTTGTAAAGGTAAGATTATTGTTAATTATGAAGACAAATGGCAAAACAAACATTGGTAGACTAAAAATTTATGTAGAGAGTTATGTAGAAATAAGGTGGTTGTATATAATGTGGGAAATCAATAAGATAATCTCAAAATTTATCATTTATAGTATATTATTTGGAGTCTATTTAGGTTAGATTATTGTGTATTTATGCAATCTTTATCTCTCCTCACTTTGATGTGAAAAAACTCTTCTACGATACAGGAATATTTTTTTGCAATATGAACTAGTTCCAGCATCCAGAAAGGCAACATCATATACACAGATAATACCGGCATAATGGAAGAGAGCCTATTACTAAAATTAGATAACATAATTCTGGAAAGGGTGGAATGCTTTAGATATCTGGGTAGTTTTATTGACTGGAGGGTTGAAAGTGATAACGAAATTTTGACCAGAATAGAACCTGCATGAAACAGCTTTATCAACTGTTGTTCATTATTGTGCAGTAGAAGTCTGTCATTGACCATACATCTAAGAGTAATAAAGTGCAATGTCTGGTCTACTTTGTTCTATGGATGTGAAACCTGGACAACAAAAATAAAAAATCTTAATAAATTAGAAGTGTTCAAGTTGTGGTGTTACTGTCGCATGCTCAGAATCTCAGGACGGCACACATATCTAAGAATGTGTGCTAGTGACTATGCACAAAGAGCGAGAATTGATCAACATTATCAAACTGAGAAAGGCAAATACTTCAGCCATATAATGAGAGGATCTAAATATTGTTTACTCTGGTTGATCATCCAGGACAAAATTTGAGGAAAATGCTGCGTCAGAAGATAACTACTGTCTTGGCTGCATAACATTAGACAATGGACAGGTTGAATGGTCAAGGAATTGTTTCATCTAGCTGCTGACTGAGAAACATTTCATTAGCATGTTAAAATGTAGCTAGAAAACATTTGAAAACCAGCATGGCACATAAAGAAGAAGAACATCTAGAAAAATATTATATAGTGACATACAGCATGTTTTGGTATATCATTTTTTTGAAATGGCATCTGAACTGGCAGTAACCAATGAGAAAATTTTTGCTCCAAGTGATAAACATCTAACAGTGTTAGATGTGCAAAATTTTGAATAAATGGTAAAATGCAAGAAACTCTTTCCTATTATTATCATAGATCTTGTAATTATATTTTTTAATATTGGAAAACCAACTATATTTTGTCACTACTCCAATTGGAGCTAATGTCACCCCTGTGCTTGCAAATCCTGCTTTTCAAACATCAACTTAGTATCCCTGACGCCCCTCCAGCGTGTGCACTCCTTTTATTTAGTAGTCAGTACCTCTAATTGTATTTCAAAGACATTCTCCTTAAGTTATTCAAGTGGTAAAGTCTGCCAAGTTGTTGTTCTCTTTCTCTCTGCCTCCCTCGCATTCTGCAAAGGGCAAAGTGTAATTTAGTATTACAAAGTGTGTACAGTTAAATATATATTGTGGAGTTGAAATAAACTGGTAAAGCAGTGTTCTGCTCTATAATTTCAGTCCACACATAAGGGACACACGAAAATAATCAGCTACTATACCAAATCCTGTAATACAAACTTGATAGGTTGTCACGAGGGTTTGACGGTCTACAGAAAATTTGTGAAAATAACGAATTTATTTTTTTTAAGTATGTTTCTATTAAATATGCTAATAATGTAACTTTAATATTGTAAGAATTGTTAACTATGTTTTTGTTTTGGATATTGGATATGGATATAATAAACTATTAAGTTTGAAGTAAATATGGATATCTCATATTTGTAGATGGCGTTATGTATTAATACTGCATAATACAAAAGTATTTTATAAGAAGAATTATTGCCATCCTTCCATTAAAGAGATTCAACTATCAGATGGGGTATTAATATTTCAACACAATAGCACAGGCCTGAACTATCACATCAAGACTCTTTGGTATCATATGAAAAAAATGCTTCCAACTACAACAGTTTGTACAATTCCTAAATTAAAGGGTACAGTTTAGGAAATTTGGAATATAACTTTCAGACAGATTACTGATATACATGCCACTAGCTACATGTGACTAGCAAAAAGAGAATTCATGTGATTTTAAAGTCTAAGGGTGACTACACGCAGTGGTAATGCTGATTAAATATTTGGTCCAAATAATTTGCATTAATTAATTTCTTTTTGTTTATTTTGCAATTATTTTAATTGATAAAAATATTAGATATTGATGATTAATTGGCAAAACCACTTAGTATCAAATAAACTAGATATCATTTCTGTTTAATTTATAATAGTTAAATTCTCATTTATTAAAAAAATGGTGTTGCAGATTGGTTTTGAACCGGTTCATATGTCTCTGGGCTCATATGTCATAACTATTGAATATATTTTTTTCAACTAATTAAAAACTGAATATTTTCATTGATTTACTTTCATTTTTTTTACTTTTTCACTTTAAAAATATTTAGAACAAGCTCTTAATAGTATTTATTATACACATTAATATAATAGGAGGATTATTTGTTACACAGACAACTACTACAACTATAAAAAATAAATAGTTTATAAAATAATCAAAAATTAATTTTGATTGATTTATTTATAAACTAAAAATAAATTGTATTGGATACTACAGATTTTTTATTGTTTTTTTGCATTACCACACAATTTAAGCTTGTGAATTGACAAGTCTTTTTTCAACAGGACTGTGAAGATCCCAATCCACTTATAAGAGCACTTGCTGTTAGAACAATGGGTTGTATTAGAGTAGACAAAATCACTGAATATCTTTGTGAGCCACTAAGGAAATGTTTAAAAGATGAAGATCCTTATGTAAGAAAAACAGCAGCTGTTTGTGTCGCCAAATTGTACGACATTTCATCTGGTAAGATTAATAATTTTATTTTGATATCTTTATTTAGAATAACATGTAATTAAAATTACCAACATATTTTTTGTTATAGTTATTTAGTGTCACCCTCTTATATAGAGCGTATAAAATAATGTAATTGATAGATAACAGTGAAGTATTCCATGTAAAGCCTAACCTAGACAAATATTGCTCTTTTTGGTAACAAGTTATTCAATTTTTTTTGTACATGGCATGTCTTGACAGCTTATAAACATTGACATGGGTTTACTTCACAATAGTATTCATACAAACATTTGATATGAACAATTATTAGTGGTTAAGCTGAACAATAAAACTTAACGCTATGCACTGGTTAGATTAGCTGAAACAAAGTGTTTCTTTTAGAAATATTAGAAAACTGTGTGAAAAAATCATTTGCAACATTAAGAATGCCTTAAGATTTCCTTGCTTCTAGAAGAATCAAACTGACTGTCTATTATCACATGTTTAATGAAAAGTCGAGTATTGTAGTAGTAGCATACTGGAGGGTTTTCTGACATCGTAAGGTATCCATGTGTGAGACATGAATGTCTTATTTGTAACCAGCAAATAACTAATTTTTCTCTCCTGTTCATAGATGACATATTAAAGTGAGATAAGTTGAGTTGAACTTCATGCAGCTTAGTTTTAGTTTTATTCCACAGGTCTGCCCATGAGCTCAGGATTTTTTGTTGAATCAATATCTTAAGATCCATATGGGTTTGGAGCTCTTTGAAGGCTGAGTCAGAAGAACATGTTGCATTAACGGCCTGGTCTGCTTTTTCATTTCCCAATATGCGAACATAGGATGGAGTCCCGATCATTGTGACTGTTATGCTAGTAGAATATCGTTGGTTATAGTATGTATGTATTTCCTCAACTAGTGGATTTTTGGAGAAGATGAATTTTACATAATTAACCAAGGAAGGAGAATCAGTGAAAATGGAGATTGTTTTGCTTTCATTTGAAGTAGAGTGGAATACCTGAAGTATTCTATATAATTCTGCAGTGTAAATATAGGGGTTATGTTAGTCATCATGGTGGACACAGAACAATCTTCATTCTTGGATGCATCAGTGTATAAAATTTTATCAAATTGTATTGCATTGAGGATGTTTTGAAAGGATTTTCTGACGATTGAGTTTGTGTGTGATCTGTTGAATTGAATCTGAATAAATCATTATTGAATATTGGAATATTGAAGATTGGGTACAACTCGAAGAAAAAATTCAAGAAGCAGCCGACTCAGTATTATCAATAAACAGACAATGTAAACAAACAGATTGGTATGATGAGGATTGTAAGAAAGCCATTAGTGACCGAAATAAAGCTAAAATAAATAGCATAACAAGAAATAATGAAGGGAGTAAAAAAGCTTATGCCGCAAAAAGACGGGAAGCAAAGAAGATCTGTAGAAGGAAGAAGCGGTCAAGTTTAGAGCAGAAACTAGTTCGTATTGAAGAAGATTTTTTACATAAACAAGTCAGGAATTTCTACCAAGAAATAAAACGAGACCAAACCCAGTACAAAACCACATCAAGATATAAAGATGAAGAGGGGAATCTGTTAGGTGGAACAGATGAAAAATTAAGAAGGTGGGCCAATTATTTCGAGAACATATTATGTACGGACGACCAAGATGAAAGAGAACAAACGCAACTACAACATGAAGAAGTAAGGGACCCAGATGTAAATGAAGAAATACCTACCAAGGAAGAAATTATAGAGATCATAAAAAAAACAACAATGCACCTGGTGAAAATTGTATCATTGCTGAGTTTCTAAAAGAAGGTGACAAAATGGTGCAAGAAGAAATCGCTGAGTTAATATGCGAAGTGTGGATAAAAAAAATACCCAATCAGTGGAAAGAAGAAATCTTATGTCCAATGCATAAAAAAGGAGACGTTACAGAACGTAAAAATTACAGGGGAATAGCTCTACAAGATACAGTGTATAAGATTCTGGCCATATTAATTAGAAATAAAATTAAAACAAAAGTTAAAAATTGTCTAGGTGAATATCAAGCAGGTTTCAGAGCAAACAGATCGGTAATAGACCAAACTTTTACAATGAAACAAATTTTAGCTAGTTTATATGAATTCAACCTAACATTACACATGCTGTTTATTGATTTTAGACAGACATATGATACTATAAAAAAAAATAACGTATATGAAGCACTAGAATATTTTGAATTTCCACCAAAAATAGTAAGACTGACTAAATACATACTCAATGATACTAAAAGTAAAGTCATGTTAGACGGACGGGTTTCGGATAGCTCTATCACCAATAGAGGTCTGCGACAAGGTGACCCGTTATCAACAGATTTTTTCAATTTGATCTTAGAGAAGATTTTACGAGAATATAACATCTACACTAGAGGCACAATATATCATCACAGGCATCAATGTGTAGCATATGCAGATGATGATACCTTAATAACAAGGAGACCTGCAGAATTAAGAGAAATCTTTACTAGAATAGAGAGAATAGCCAGGGAATATGGTTTAGAAATAAACGAAGAAAAAACAAAATATATGGTGATGAGGGGAAATGAAAATCATCTAGGACAGTCCTTTAAGATACAAAGCCCAATTAAAGAATATAACTTTGAAGTTGTTAGCCAATTCGATTACTTGGGAGTGACACTAACAAATAGGAACGAAGAGAACCAAGAAATCATAAAAAGAATGGCCAAAGGTAGTAAGAGTGCTGGGAGCCTGACTAAGATACTGAGGTCGAAGATAATATCCAGAACAGCAAAAAAACGAATATATACAACAGTTATCCGACCTATAGTACTCTATGCTAGCGAGACCTGGACACTAAATAAAGATATGGAAGTAAAATTAGATAGATGGGAACGAAAAATTCTTAGAAGGATATACGGAGGTGTAAAAGAGGGGAACATTTGGCGAAGAAGAACGAATGAAGAAATAATGCAAATATATGGGCAATCAAAAATAACAAGACTCGCTAAAATTCAAAGATTAAGATGGCTCGGCATATAGCAAGAATGAAGGAGTTCCCAATGAATTAATAAACACGGAGGCTGGTATAAAAAGAAAAAGAGGCCGCCCCCTAAGAAAATGGCTGGAGTCGGCAAAAGAAGATCTGAAGTCGCTGCGGGTACAAGAATTAATAAACACGGAGGCTGCTACAAAAAGAAAAAGAGGCCGCCCCCTAAGAAAATGGCTGGAGTCGGCAAAAGAAGATCTGAAGTTGCTGCGGGTACAAGATTGGAAAAACTTAGCACAAGATAGAGAAGAAATGGAAAAAAACCGTAGAAGCATTAGGCCTTTGAAAAAACATGTTCTCACATGTTTCGAAGAATTATAATAAGTTAATGAGATAAACGATTTTCTTCAGCGCATGTTATATGAGAAATAAAACAGTTCATATCTGGTTTTACAGTTGTAGTAGATGATGGCTTCCATATTTCTACTAGGGCTTCTTTTTCTTGTACTGCTTCATATATATGCTTCATTTGTCATACTTTGCCGTTTCTTCGGTCCCTTCAAACAAAGAATTTAAAGTCTTCTTCACTTGTTTCGAATCCTGTTTCTGATAAATTTTGAAACCAATCGACAATATGTAGAATATCTTTAGGATCAAATTTTGTGTTTCTTGTGATACAGTATTCATTATAGGCCATAGCCTTTTCCAAGATGAACTCAGGTGAAACAGAGTTCCATGCATGGGCGAGAGAGAACACAGTATGCTTTAAATTATTTTTTTTTTAATTGAGAATGTGGATTATTGGATGTATCGAATTAGTGAGATTTTACTGTATTTATATTAAATATTATGCATTATAATTTTCTTTTAGTCTTGTATCAACAGTAATTTATACTTTACAGGTTTGGTAGAGGATCAAGGCTTTTTAGAACAGCTAAAAGAATTGTTAAGTGATTCCAACCCTATGGTAGTTGCTAATGCAGTTGCAGCTTTATCCGAGATAAATGAGAGCAGTCCTACTGGTCAACCCCTAGTTGGTAAATATTACAGTTACTTAAATATGGTGTTCAGTGTTATTACGTACTTCATTGTACAAATTAAATACATTTTACCAGATAATAACAGCAGCAAATGAAAACAGTTAAATTTAACAAATTATAATTAACAATTTAGCACAACAATAGTCCCTGAATAAAACTACACAAAATATCTTCATTAGATACTTGAATAAAATATAAAGCTCGTGGGGATTTAGAAAGTATTTTATACAATCTAGAATTAAAATAAATAAAAATATATACAAATAATATTTTAAAGGGAATAAGCTACAATTGAAAGTTAAAATCAGTTTATTGACGTTTCAATATCCACTTCGGAAATCGTTCTCAAAATACAAACATTAATAAATTAAACAATTTTTGTTACTTGGTGAACATTTTTTCTAATACATACATTATACATTCTAAAGTAGACGACTTTAAAATGATATTGCCAATATTCTTGAGTTTCGTTCCTGGGACGACTTTATTGTAAGATAGTTGTTGATACATTGTTTTTGTAATTTCTCCCCTCCAGGAATTTGGCGGTCTTCCCCTTTTCCTTCTTTCTGGCGGAACATACATTAAGGCTTTCTTTGGCCACCGCTCCTCCTCCATTCTCATCACGTGACCATACCATTGTAATTGCCCTTACATTTAGGTTACTCTCAATAAACACCAAATTCTGATTTTATATGATTGTTACTTAAAAAAATAAATGATGTATCCTCTATATGTGACTGACTTACAGATACTGGTATTTTCTTTTTATTAAATTCCTCTTTTAATATGGGTAACCAGATCCTACTGCATTCTGCCGAGGAATTTGCGACATAATTGGTCTCATTTAGTATAATTAGAACCGCTTCTTTGGTTTATCTCTTTTTACCATCTGTTTCTTTTAGGACTATACTTGAATCATTTCATTAAACCCTATGTTCATTTTCCCATTCGTGTTTACATATTTCAGATTTATCAAATTCTCAATTTTTAATATGATTGATGTTCACTTATTCTAACATTTAATGGCCTTGATGTTTCTCCTTAATAAAACTGATCGCATTCACAAGGTATTTTATTAATACAATTCTTTGTTCTTTCTTGTTCATTGTTAGTTTTAGTTTTCGGTAAAGTAGTGTGTGTTAGGTAAAACAATGTGTTTGTTGTTTTGAATATTTTTGAAATGTTTAATTTATTTCCTATCCTTTTAAGTTTTTCTAATAATTCTTTTATTTATGGTATTGTTATTTTCCTCGTATGAATCCTTGTGTATGCTATAGGATCTCGTTCTAAGTTGTTCTGTTCTGTTTAGTCGATTGTTGGAAATTTCTTATTTATAAACGATATAGGATAATAATTTTGAATAAAACAGATGTTGAATTTTCAATGAACAAACCATCTTGGCTATATCATATAAGGATTTAAGAATTCCTTTTTAATATTGTGATTTGATTTTTAATTTAATATATGTCTGAGTAGTCAATATAAATAAGTCAGATAAAATTTAATTAGAAGAATTTTTCACCAAGTAACAAAAAACAAAATTTGTTTAATTTGTTAATGTTTGTATTTTGAGAAAGATTTCCAAAGTGGAAATGGAAACGTCAATAAACTTATTTTAACCTTCAATTATGGCTTATTCCCAATAAAATACTATTTACTTTAAAATGCCACAAGAAAATAGCTTCAGAACAATATTAAAAAATAGATATACAGATTGAACCAAATTAAAACGGAACGTACAATTTAATACATGTCTGTTTGAACTGCATTTGAAATAGTGGACCAATATAAAACTTGGACAAAAATAAATCCATACCTGGGTATAGACATTGTATAAAATATCGTTCAACTATCTGTCTCGTAACAATGTTGTTTGCGTAAGAAGGGTTTGTCTAAGCAAGCGATAATAGTTCAGGAAATGAAAGTCGAAAAAAGTTAAAACTTCGCAATTTTTTCGTCCTGCATTTATCCAGTTGAAATTTTAACAGAAGGTAGGTGATAGCCCAAGGATCAAAATCTATATCGAACCGAAGTGCGCTGGAGGGTTTTAGGGGTGAAAACTACCCCTAATTGTCAAAAATTATAAAATAACATATTAAACCTGAATATGGGTAAGATTTGGTTTGAATTAGTTAAATAATGATTATTTTATACTTTTGAATAGAGTTCCATCATATTTCAACCCTTAAAAAGCAACCCTTGTTAGAGATTAATGTAAAAAAATTACTAATTCTAAAAAAATGATTTCGTCTTGGATCGATTTGGATAAAAATTTGGATTTAAGCTCAATTCACCCGCTGCTTTATAGTTTATGTCATGTCGACGAACCCTGATTGTTCTTAGGTGTGAAAACTACCCCTAATTGTCAAAAATTATAAAATAACATATTAAACCTGAATAAGGGTAAAATTTGGTTTGAATTAATTAAATAATGATAGTTTCGTGCTTTTGAATAAAGTTCCATCATATATCAACCCTTAAAAAGCGACCCTTATTAGAGATTAATATAGAAAAATTAGTAATGCGAAGAAAATGATTTCACCTTGGAACGATTTGCATAAAAATTTGGAATTAAGCACAACTCACCCCCTGCTTTATAGTTTATGTCATGCCGATAAACCCTGATTGTTCTTAGGGCTGAAAACTACCCCTAATTGTCAAAAATTATAAAATAACATATTACACCTGAATATGGGTAAAATTTGGTTTGAATTAATTAAATGATGATAGTTTCGTGCTTTTGAATAAAGTTCCATCATATATCAACCCTTAAAAAGCGACCCTTATTAGAGATAAATATAGAAAAATTAGTAATGCGAAGAAAATGATTTCACCTTGGAACGATTTGCATAAAAATTTGGAATTAAGCTCAACTCACCCTCTGCTTTATAGTTTATGTCATGCCGATGAACCCTGATTGTTCTTAGGGTTGAAAACTACCCCTAATTTTCAAAAATTGTAAAATAATATTACAAATCTTAAGATGAGTGAAATTTGGTTTGGATTAGTTAAATAGTGATTTTTTTATACTTTAAAATACAAATTCATACATTTTCAACCCTTAAAAATCAATTGTTATGAGTGCTATAGGTGAAAACAATTTTTTGCCAAAATTTTGCAACTTTTCAACTTTTGAAAATCACCCTTTACAACATTGCAGTTTTTATAAACTAATTTATAAGATATAAATTGAAAAAAGTAGAATTAAATACAAAAAAATTTATCAACATAAAAAGGCACCATAATTATATTCTTATACATTTACATAAATAGTTGGAAATATTTACATTTATAGGTAAAACAATTATAATATTAATTTTATTCGTCATCAATTACATCTTCATCGTGATCTATGTCATCCTCATCTTCTTCAATTATTGGTGGACTGTTATTGCACCCTTCATCTGAGCACCCAGAACAAGTAGAGTTACAGTATAAACCAACTTTTCTGCACCTACATGAAACGCCGCATCCTTTTTTGCATTGGCAAAAAGTAATTTTCAAAAGTTCATCGGGTGCAGGTTGTTTGTTCATGCGTACGGGTAATAACAAACCATCTTTGGAATACCATCCCCAATCTGTTGCTCTGATATTTTTATTGCCAAGCCATAGACACATGAGCAGATCTTTTATTCTGTTGTATGGGATTTCAAAATAAGAACGCTTACAATTTCGAATGTATAACGCCCCACTAGCTAATATACCGGTTTTGTAGATTATTATGCTCCGAAATGTACTGTACTATACTAATGGAATTTTCCGGAAAAAAATTAACTGGTTTTTTTAACGTATTTCCTTTAATTTTTAACGATAGAGTGTTTCTTCAAAAACGATTTGTAGAGGTTTTTAAGAGTTACAAGGATCTGTGAATTAAATCTTTTTGGAACCCTTGGTTTTTAAATGGGGTGAGTTTAAAGGGCCCGAAAAAGATGGTGCTTGATCTTAAATCGATGCTTTAAACGGCTATATCTCGCCAAATATTCATTGTACAACAAATCTAAATAAAGGATAATTTTAGTCATTAAAAAAGCTATAATTTGGTAATTTTTATTTTTTTCATATATTCAGTATTTTTGGGCATATTTAAAAAAAGAAGGGTAAAAAATATGAAATTGTAAATCGTTTCTCGCTTTAAGCTGTACTTTTTCTAAAACTAAGCATTTTAAATGGGTCAAACTTCTTGGACGTATTAACAATACATGTACAAAGGGAATTGCAGAAGGGTGAAGATCGATTTTAATTATGAGGGTGGTTAGGGGGTTGTTTTCATCGATTTTTTCGTAAAAAATGAGGTATTGACCTTATTTTCATCATAACTCACTCAATTTTTGAGCTAAAGTCTTTTTTTATGATAGGTCTGTTTATGCTCTTTAAAAAAGGTTTTGTGAGTTTTCTTCCAAAAATGCATCATTTTCCCGATATCTGACTTTGAATCTTTCAAATTTGGCATTTGAAGAAAACCTCTGAACATTGATAGGCTGTATTTCGGTTCCTATTTTATCGCAAAAACATTTTAAAAAATGAATTGTATTTGTCTTTTTAAAAGCTACAAATTTGTTCTCTACAATTTTTTTGATAAAATGCACCATTTTCGAGTTATTCGCGAAAAATCGATTAAAAACGTGGATTTTTTTCGTCTAAAAGTTGTTACTTTCAATCGCGAATAACTTGAAAAATATCATTTTATAAAAAAAATGTATAGCACATTTTTTGTCTAGAATCACTTTTTTAATCGAAACCTGTAGTTAAAACGTAAAAAAAATTTTCACCCCGGAGATGGGGTGACAACCACCCCCTAGGCTTTGGCGCACTTTGGTTCGATATAGATTTTGATCCTTAGGCTATTACCTACCTTCCGTTAAATTTCAAGTCAACCCACGCAGCACGAAAAAATTGCGAGGTGAAATGCTTCATTTCCTGGACTATAACTGGTTTGACAGCATATTAAAATCGTAGATTTATGTGTAGCTTTCAATTTCAGTTCAGAATCCAGCAGC